GATTGTCTCTTTCTGCTGTCCCACCCCTTCTGCAACACAGCTAATGACGTCTTTGTGCATCATGTGAAGACTGATTCTGTCTTCTTTACAGTGATGATATGAGGTAAGAAATAAAAAGTAACCACCAGAACCAAACCCTGCCCCCTTGGTGTAGAATCGTTAATGAACGAAGCAGGGCCTTCAGACTAAAGGTGCTGCGTCACTAACTGTGGGCACCATGGCAGGTGCTGTGAACTCACCATCAGTGCAGACCCAGCGTGGCGGTTCACACTGAAGAAACAAGTGGTGAGAGCTGTGAGCTGTTCAAAATGTGGAGGGAGCCTCGGGCAAAAGCAGCATCCAAAGAGCTGCCTCCAGGGAGCACTGGGCTGTGACCATCCGAAGCCAATAAGCCTCTGTGCTGAGGCCAGAGGCCGGGGATGGGATGGGGACAGGACCCACATGCTTGTTTGCTTGCTCACTTGTTTCAGATCTCCTCTTGGTCTTGGGTCTCAGTACCTTTCAGATGGGGATTAGATAAGAACTGTGAGGTAGTCCATCAAGCTGGTGGCCAGGAGCCCGTGGTAGGTGTGTGACATCTGAAAGGGAAGGCTGATGTGAACACTGCAGTCCCCCTACAGGCACCCCATCCCCACTCGGGGTCCATCCTAACAGTAGCCTTATGCAACCCCTGACTCTATCCCGCTTTGAAAGCCTGTCTAGCCTGGCACCGTGCCAGAGCCAGGCTGACCTCACTGCCCAGGGAGAGTGGCTCATTGAGCTAGAGCCAGAGCACAGACTCGGGGGCGTAGCAGACCTGGGACCTCATCTGGATGCCTAAGGGTGCACCTTTGGGCAATTCACCTAGCCAGAGGCAGCTTTCGGGGTTCTGATTAAGTCACCGCTGGCCACAGCATAAGGGTAAGACAGCCCTTTCCCTGCGAATCTCCCTGCCAGTCTGCAGTAGGAACACTGGTGGGCACTGGATTTGCACAGAACATGAATTGGGGATAACAATCCACCTTGGAAGGATTGTTAACAAGTCTTCAATCAGAATGGAATTCAATCTTACTAGGCACAGTTTTAATGATGACAGGAGGCAAAGGCACCCTTGTGGACGAGAGAAAATGACAGCGAAGCAGTGAGTGGTTTCACAGCAGCACGGAGACTGGTGATTAGGGGAGTTCAGGTTGCGATGCTCGAGGGTACAGGGCCATTACGTCTGCATCCTTGAGGATGCTCTGCAACACCATGTACATCAGGCTAAGGGCTGTGGCCTTCACTTTGGAGGTAAGATCCCCAGGCTGTGTTCTTAGGACCCCTGGGAACACAATCATAAGGACCCTTCTGCTAAGCATAGGAATGTAAGGTACAGCACAGTAAGTATAGTTAATAATTATGTATTTTGTGTATATATGAGTCGGAAGTAGATCTTTTTTTTTTTTTATCTTCACCCGAGGACATTTTTGCATTTATCTTGATATAGAGCAGGAGGGCGAGAGGGGGAAGAGAGAGAGAGAGAAACATTGATGTGAGACACATCAACTGGCTGCCACCCATACAACCCCAACCGGGGCCGGGGACAAACTGCAAACAAGGTACGTGCCCTTAGTGGGAACCAAACCCTGGCCTCTTGGTCTGTGGGCTGATGCTCTAACCGCTGAGCCAAACCAGCCAGGGCAGAAAGTAGATGTTCAAAGTTCTCATCAGGACTACATGTGGCAATGGTTGTGAACTAGACTTACTGCAGCTGTCCTTTTGCAATATAACCAAGTGAATTATGTTGTCCCTCTGACATGAATGTCAATTATATCTCAGTTTAAGAAAAACTTCTTTGAGGTAAGACTGACACACACACACATTTAAGGTATATAACTCAATCAGTTTTCCTCATTAAAAAATTGTGCTTCCTGAATTTACAGGGTTGAGTCTTGGGAAAGATCTGATCTCTTCCCATTTCTTCTGCTTCCCACAGTTTTATTATTGTAGTTGGTTTTATGTTTTTTGTTAAGCCTTACCTGAGGAAATTTTTTCCATTGGTTTTTAGAGAGTGGATGGGAGGGAAGAGTGGGGGGAGAGAGAAACATTGAGGGGAGAGAGAGAGATCGATTGGTTGCCTCCTGCATGTGCCCGACTGGGGCCAGGGATCACACCTGCAAACCCAGGTATGTGCCCTTGACTGGGAATCAAACCCAAGACCCTTCCATACGCAGGCCAACACTGTAGCCACTAATCCACGCTGGCCAGGGCCGTTCTATTATTCTTGACAGGGAACTTTCCCCTCCAAGACCTACAAAGTCACACACTGGAAGGAATTTGGAGTTTGTAACCATCCTCAGTAGACCGGACTGGGCAAGAATAGGATCGTCATTGAGGGGCAGGGTGTTCCCATGTTATCAGGGCCTCTCCACCAATTGCTCATTACTGGTCAGAATTTTTTGCTGTAACAAATAATACACAACTTATTCTGGAAGGCAGGGAGGCCAGACAAACACGAAATCAGAGTCCTGCCCCACAGGTGGTCAGGGTTCTGCACTACGATGGTCCAAAAATACTGCCCGTAGACCACATGTGTTCCCTCTGATGGGGACCTGCAGGCCAGCACAGGGGTTTGCTGTGGGCATCTGCTGCCCTGGAGCTGGGCCTGTGTTCTGGTGTCAAATGGCATGCGTGGTTGTGCTTCCTGGGCCTTAGTTTCCCCAGATGAAAAGTGTGACGTTGGATGAGATGATCCCCATCTCTAAGCTGTACTCTCTCAGCAACTTTAAGTGTGTAATGCTGTGTCATTAACTGTGGTCCCTGAGCTGTACATCAGATCTCTGGAACGTGTTCATCCTGTAGCTGGAAGTTTATACCCCCTGAGCAACGTGTCACCAACTGCCCCTCCCCTAGCCACTATCATTCTACCCTCTGCTTCCATGAGTGTGACCTCACTGGCTTAGAACACTACATAAGTGTTCAATTGTGTAACCAGAAGAAATGGCCATAAAATGCACAATGACTTAGTTGCTCCCAAGCGCCGTCCAGTAGGAAGTCTGTTTCCACAGCGGTGTCTGCCTGCCTGTGTTTAGGGTCTTCACGAGCCTATTGGGTCTGGAGGCCACATAGGCAGTGCTGAAAATTGCCCAGGCACCCCACAACAGGTAGTCCATCCCTCCTGCTACACTCTCAACAGCAGAGGCAAAGGACTTCAACATGTGGGCTTTGGCCTAAATTAGACCTGTGTTTGAATCATTGGCTTTAGGGAAGACACATGCCAGCCTCTGAACCTGCTTTGTCACAGGTCTGTGCTGTGGCGAGGATGCACAGAGAGCCCTCAGCATCTAGCTTGGCTCTGCAGGTGCATGTCACATGAGGGACTCCCCCCTTGCACCTTGACCTCTGGCGTGCAGGAAGGCTCTTTCCTTCTGAAGCAGAGGCACTTGCTGGAGAGGTGGGTGCAGGGCCTACAGGGGCCTCACGAGGCAGGGAGGCAGGCACTGAACCGTCTCCTGTGTTGTCTCACGTCTCCCTGTATGCAGGGCCCATGAAGGCTCCTGTTGGAGAACACAGCAGGAGGGAGACGCCCACCAGGGCTGTCCCCACCCACACCTGCTCCCAAGCAGGGCACCATGGCCCTGCTCTGACGTGCTGAAGTCTCACTTTCTTATGGGCACAGATGGCTTTGCCCTTCAGAGCAGCAACAGTTAGCTGCACTCACATCCACAGGGCAGGTCCTGGGCCTGGACTCCTGATCTGTGTCCACCCAGTGCATAGACACCCTGCCTACTATGAGCATGGGCATCCCGGACACTTAATTTTCTCAAGCTTCAGTGGGCCTAGAAAACAATCCCAGCACATCCCTTCCAACATGAGCAGTTCTACGGATCCTGAGCTAAAGTAAAATGTTCTGTGGAGGCTCAGGCAGTCCAGGGGACCTTCCTACCTTCTCATGGAACAAGAGCACTTACTAGTCCCCCCCCCCCCCCCCCGTTTGACTTCGACCATATTGTGGAGGCTCTGGAACACCATAGGACTGTTCCATCCCCCACTTCCAATGCAGCAGTTGTGGTTGATGGTAACTGGAGGGGACTTAGGACTATTTCTAGAGATTCATATGGACCAAGGGTGCTTTCTGAGGCCTCCTCTGGCAGCTTCATCTGGTCCCTGTACTTGGAGTGTCACTTTCAATGTCAGGAACGACATGAACATGTACCTGGCAGTACAGTGGGGTCCTTGGAGAGCTGTGTGTGCCTATCTCTGCAGTCATCTTTGTAAGCCTGAGACAGCCTTCATGAACAGAAAATTTATATTCAGTATTAACAGCAATCACAACAGTGATCCGTAAGAATGGTAATAGCTGGGGTGGGGGCATAGAGCTGTAAAGGAGTAGAATCTGAATCTGTGATTTAAGTTGGTATCAATAAAAAGTAGACTGTTTTAACTTTAGGACACTGTGCCTAACCTCCATAGTCACCACAAACAAAATATAGAAGTTCAGTCACATGTGGACCTTCCACATTAAACACACCCTTTCACAGAGGCCACTAAATCACACAAACAGCAAGGAGACACCTGTGTGCACACCGTGCGGTGGCCACGTGCCCTGTGCAGACACTAAGGAAAACCTGGCCGTCCTGCTTCGACAGGAAGCACTTCATCCCCCAGCAGCGGCCAGGGAGGCACATGGCAGAGGAACACGTGTGAACTCCCGTCAGGCCAGCGGTGCTGTATGGTAAGAGGCAGGTGATAAAGGATCTGCATGTGGGTGTTTGACACAATTGCATCAGCAAAAAATTAAATTTGGGAAGTGCAGGTAAATTAAGCCAGGTTCCCATGAGAAAGTACCAAGATTTTAATGTGATTGCATGTTGTTGGTTGTGGAGGACTTTTCCTATGGAGTCATTTCTGTCAAAATTCTGATTTAAATATTTTATATATTAAAAAGAGGTAAATCCTTTTTTGATTTTAAATATTTCAATAACTATAACATGAATATCACAGAATATGGTTTTGTGTACTGTATAAGTTCACATCTAATATTTTATAAGTGACCCAAATACGTGTGTTTGTATTAGTATAAAGAAAACTGGAATTTAACCAATCTGTTTAATTTTTACTACCAATTAATGCCTGCATTTTTCCGGTATTAATCATTGTAGTTTGACTTTTATGCTTAAAATCTAGAATTTTTCTTCAGTCCCAAATTCCTAATGTAAAACCCACCGGAATGTTTATCCACTTATTCAATGTGAGATAATTAATGCTAAGTAATGAGAAGTCACTGAAAATATTTCATTTGTGACACTGAATGTTCAAGTGTGAACTCTCACCTGTTGTACAAATGTTGATTAATAAACATTTTGCCAATTTTCATAAAATCACTTTTCCAAGATAGATTATCTGCTAATTTTCAAGAGGCTTTGCCCTCCTAGTAGTGAATTTTTCCACTTAACCTGTTTTAGCAGCTGACACTAAATGTTCTTGTGCACATCAAGCGTGGTGCTTAGCTGAACAGCACAATGATTACAGAGCTGGGATATCTCCTTTGTGCGGTTTACTAACATGTTTAAAAAATAAATGATAAACCAAGGCATTTCTACATTGATTGCACACACAGAATTTCTCCATCCCCCTCCCCAATCATTCATGGGTTAGATTCATTAACTAAATCTTTTATCTGGCTGAGAGGTCTCAGATTTTGGTCGCTGCCCTGTCACTAAGGAGGACATGGCAAGAAGCTTGTGAAAGCACTTGCACAGAGAACATCCAAAGCCACTACGGGTCTAATTCATGCCAGCTGGCCTCACCTTAATCAAGTTAGTAGCACTTAATTGTTCTCATTCCATCTCACCCAATTCTTGTTTAGTCCCAGCTGAGATCCAGGGCTTGGGTTGATAGATTTCCATTCTAGAGTCTCAATTCAGATCTGAGTTAGAAATGTGTCCTGGCTCCTGACTGGGATCAACTCCCGGCAGAGACCTTGCTTGCAAGGTGTTTTGGTCAAACTGTGTGGTGGGCTGGAACCAGGAAAGAACTCTTGTCAGTTCCAGCTCCTAGACAGAATCCTGGATCTGGACAGGACTCAGAGGTCAGGGTCAGCCCTAGGACAGATTCAGATCTGGTCTAAGAATGAAGCGCTCCAGAATCCCTGCCACAGCACCCTCCCCCACGTGTATGGTGACAGTGGCTCTAGCCAGCAGTGTCTCACGGTCCAGGATGGAGTCAAGATCCTATTATACTGAGGGCATGCAGGTCCCAGCCTCCCCACCTCCAGTCTCCTGGCCCATGCCTACTGCAGCTACCTGCTCAGAAGCAGACTCCCCAGGGCTCTATCCAGGCTCAGCTGCCACCACACCGCCACACCCCCCTGGCCATACTGTCGGCATTTTGCCCCTAACTTCATCCACCATAGCCAACCTCCGATTTCTCCATTTTCTTTAACAGAACTGTGTATAAAAATCCTTATACATTCATTCTTTTACAGTCTGAATTCTCCAGGTAAGCCCATTGTCTAGTTTGTCAAGTAAATGCCATACATATAGATTCTCCCCACTTAGAATTAACTTCAATTGAATGAAATAAGAATGAATAAAGGCTCTTCCACATTGATTACAGTGCTTTTTTCAATGTGTGAGTCGTCATGAGTGCTTAGAGTTTGAAAGGATGGGTGGTGAATCTTCCACATTTATAACCTTTACAGCGTGAGTTTTCCCATGTTGCCTAAGGTTAAAGTATTTACTGAAGGCTTTTCCACATAGATAACATTTGTACGGTTTCTCTCCAGTATGAATTCTCTTATGTAGTCCAAAGTTATAGCTTCTGTTGAAGGCTTTACCGCATATATTGCATTCATATGGTTTCTCTCCAGTGTGAGTTCTCTCATGTCGTCTGAGGACAGAAGAGTGATTGAAGGCTTTTCCACATAGGTGGCATTCGTATGGTCTCTCTCCAGTGTGAGTTCTCTTATGTCGTCTAAGAACAGAAGAATCGGTGAAGGCTTTCCAACATAAGTGACATTCATATGGCTTCTCTCCCGTATGAGTTCTCTCATGTCGTCTGAGGACAGAAGAATCAGTGAAAGCTTTTCCACATTGATGACACCCATATGGTTTCTCTCCAGTGTGAGTTCTTTCATGTTTTCTAAGGTGAGAACAATGAGTGAAGGCCTTCCCACATAGAAGACATTCATGTGGTTTCTCTTGATTGTGAGTTCTCTCATGTTGTCTAAGGTAAGAATTTTTACTAAATGTCTTCCCACATAGATTACATCCATATGGTTTCTCTCCAAAGTGAGTTCTTTCATGTTTTATAAGGTCAGAACAATGAGTGAAGGCCTTCCCACACAGATGACATCCATGTGGTTTCTTTCGAGCATGAATCATCTCATGTCGCCTAAGGTTATAACTTTTACTGAAGGTTTTCCCACATAGATTACATCCATATGGTTTCTCTCCAAAGTGAATTCTTTCATGTTTTCTAAGGTCAGAACAATGGGTGAAGGCCTTCCCACACAGATGACATTCATGTGGTTTCACTCCAGTATGAATCATCTCATGTCGTCTACGGTTAGAACTGTTACTGAAGGCTTTTCCACATACGTGGCATTCAAATGTTTTCTCCCCATCTTGAATCTTACTGTGTTGTCTAACAGCAAAGCGGTGAATCAGAGCTCTCCCACGCTGACATTTATACACTTTACTTCTAGTGTCAATCAGTTTATGTTGATTAAAGTAACTGATCAGTTTTTTAAATTCTTGTATAATATGGGGTTTCTTTCCCATGTGAGGTATCACACACTGAGTCAATGTTAAGATTTCAGTAAAATTGTCTCCCAAATCATTACATTCAAACGGATCTTCTTGATTGTAAAATCTCTGCTTTTTGAAAGAAAATGAGAGACTGTTAAAGGTTTACCCACGTTTATTCTTTCCTTCATTCATTTCTCGACATATAAACTCTAGAATAATCAGTCAGTGATAGACTCCAATTAACATTTTTGCTATTAGTTGTATAAACATGGGGTATTACTCTCTCACATACATAAAAATTTTCTCTTTTGTGGCTTCCTAACTGCAGAGATATCTGATTAATTTTTAGACATTATATGTCAAAGATTGGTTATATGAGCCAGGATTATGCAATGATCTGTTTATAAGATCTCAGGTTATGGTTTTGACATCAAGTTAATTTTTTCCCTAAAACCAAACTAACTTGATTCCAACTCTAATTAGTCAAGTAACTGCCAAACTCATAACTTGTTCAATTCCCAAGTTTTTATTTGGAAGTACAGGTTCACACCCATAAAGCTTACCACTGCACTGATTAGGGATGTGTCCTTCTTGTAGAAATGTTGAGTGGATATCATTTCTTGTTTTTTAAAATCATCTCTCCTATCTGAAATGACTAGAAAAGAATAAATTGTTAGAGCTACAGTAGGGGGATTAAAATGTTGATGAGACCCAACGCCCATCTGAGTATGTTTCAAATATTAACAAATAGATGGGAAAGCATGTTAATAAAAATAAGGAGAAACACATTACAGACATTAATGACTGACATTTTCTGGACCAGAATATAAGAAAATAAAATGAAGATGGCAAGTTGGGGAGGAAAAGAGGGAAAATCTTCATAGAGTAGGTCCATGAAAAGGGACATTTTGTGAATTAAAAAACAAAAGGAAGCATCACTTTTAAAAATGTTTTAATTGATTTTTTAGAAAGGAAGAGAGAGAGAGGTAGAAACATCAATGTGAAAAAGAACCATCTATCGGCTGCCTCCTACATGCCTCCTACTGGAGATTGAGCCCACAATCCAGACAGGTGCCCTGATCAAAATCAAGCCAAGACCTCTCAGTCCATGGGATGATGCTCAATCCACTGAGCCACACTGGCTAGGCCAAAACATTACTTTTAATGACCAGTCAGGGACACAATGGACAGTTTCACAGAATAAGACAGTCCCAAGACAATGGGGTGTAAAATGACAGCAGGCAAGTTAATACTCCTCACCCTTATCCTCATCCTCAGCACGATCTGTTCCAACCTCCTCACAGTCCTTGTCAAGCAGAGCAATGTCCTCACGAGTCTCAGAAGACTCTCCTTCCTCCATTTCCTGACCCATGGACCAGTGAACAAAGGCATGCTTGGCATCCATCAGGTCAAACTTGTGGTCCAGGAAAGCCAAGGCCTCAGCAAGAGCTGTGGTGTTCTGTGGTATTGCTCAGCATGCACCTATCTCACTGTATTTTGTCCAGATCTCTACCAGATGCTATAGTGGAGGCTGCTAATTAATGCCAACTTAAAAACCAGTGGGGCACCAATCCACAAACTGATACTGTGCTTGGTCTTGATGGTGGCAATTGCAGCACTGGTATCTGTGGGAACTGTGTCACCAAAGTAGAACAGGCAGCAAGTCAAATTTCACCATCTGGTTGGCTGGCTCAAAGCACAAAATGGTGACCTTTACAGTAAGCTGTTCACAGTAGGCTTTCTCAGTAGAGGTGACAGGGGCATATGTGGGCAGAGGAAAGTGGATTTGGGGATATGGAACCAGGATCTTGAATTCTGCAAGATCAACATTCAGGGCTCTATCAAACCCAAGAGAAGCAGTGATAGAAGACACAATAAGGTGGCCAATAAGGTGGTCAAGGTTCCTATAGTTTGGGTGCTCAATATCGAGGTTTCTACAACAGATGTCATAGATGGCCTTGTTGTAAACCATGAAAGCATAATCAGAGTGCTCCAGGGTGGTGTGGGTGTTGAGGATGGAGTTACAGGGCTCAAATAGAGCTATGGAAACCTGAGGTTGGGGGGCGGGGAGGGTAAATAGAGAACTCCAATAAGTACATGAATATAACCTTCCCTAAAGCTAAAGATACTGAGAGACACTTGAATAGAAGTTGATAACTGCAAGGTATAATGACATCTCAAAAATTTGTCCCCTACATTTTAAAAATCACCACTAACCTGAGATATCATTTTAATCGTTCTTAGGGCCTGCTCACTTACTGACCATGCTCCTTTTCTTACCGAAGCACAGGTTCTGGCAGCTCACCTGGACTCTGGCCTTGCACAACACCCATCTCTTCTCTTGAAAGTTGCTCTCCCTCCTTCAAATGGGAAATCACATCTGATTTGTAGAGCTGACCGCCTATTTGTAGGAAAATGATATTTGAATTTGAGTTTGGTACTAATGACAGTACATGATCATCAATACAGGCTCAACTAATGAGAAAAAATAAGACAACCTCTGAAGGTCAACCCAGGAAAGAGTATACTGACAGCAACATGGATAGTTCTTCATCAGCAAAATGAGAGGTCCTGAACTTGTTCCAAGCTCAAAGACAGTCTGAAGAACAATCAGTATTTTCATTCAGTGAGAAAATATAAGCTTTCACAGTGTTTGAATACTATAGCCAAAAAAATCCAATAAATACAACTTCTACCAGGTAAAAATGTAACTTCTATGTGGAAAACAACGTCTTGTTATTTTTTATTTAGTTTTTTTATTCTCACCTGAGGACATTTTTCCACTTTTTGTTCAGATAGAGTAGGAGAGAAAGACAGAAAGAGAAAGAAACATCGACATGAAAGGGACACATCAAGTGGCTGCCACCACACAACCCAACCAGGGCCGGGGACAAACTGCAACCGAGGTCCGTGCCCTTAGCGAGAACCAAACCCGGGTCTCTCTGGACCGCAGGCCGACGCTCTAACCGCTGAGCTAAACCGGCCAGGGCTGTCTGGTTATTTTTAATACTGTGTTTGATCTAAGCACAGTCCTTGCAGCAAAACAATTATTTATCTTAAAAATCAATACATTACATACCCATTAAAAAATAGTGAGTTTCCACCACTATTTGAGAGTTGGAAATTGAGTAGTAAAGACAGAAAATTGTGTCAGCAAGATTACACTTTACTGGGATTACAAAATCAACATAAGTAAAATGTAAAGAAAACTGCTTGTAAGGTAGTTTTGTGAGAGTTATGAAGGAATCAAGACAAAGTTTGGAACAAGGAATGGGAAAGCTTTCTGACATGTTGAAGGAATAAATACGTACCTACGTGTTGAGAAACTCACCAATCGAGACCAGATGCCTGATGCTCTCCAGCATTACATCAGCGAATAGTTTTCTCTGGGATGTGTCCAGCAGGGCCCACTCTTCCTGGGTGAATTCTACAGCGACATCCTCGAAGGACACTGCTTCCTAAAACATTATGGACCTTGTTTCAGACAGGGCCATGACTGCCAGTCTCCAGGGGAGGTGGTACAGGTAGGTCATAGAACTAAGGAAGTGGCAGTTGAGTGCACAGAAGGTTCAAATAGTTTGGGTCCAGTCACATCATTCTCATTGTTGAACTTTACATCATACTTTCAGATACACCCACAGTAAACATATAAAACTTCATTATTAAGAAGTATCAAATGAGGTATGGTGATATCCCAATAAACTTGTAATTAGGACTCCAAATCATGACAACATTTTCACTTGAAAATTTATAATTAGAACACTCTTTTTGCCCAGCCAGTGTGGCTCAGTGGAGTGAGAGGTCTTGGTTAGATTCCCAGTAAGGGTGCACACCCAGATAGTGGGTTCGATCCCCAGTAGGGGCATGCAGGAGGCAGCCAATTGATATTTCTCTCTCACATCAATGTTTCTCTCTCTCTCTTCCTCATTCTCTAGAGGATCAATAAAAACATATTTAAAAAAAAAGCCTAGCTGGTGTTGCTCAGTGGATGGAGCAACATCCCATGGACTGAGAGGTCCCAGTTCTGGGCACATGCTCAGGTTGTAGGCTTGAGCCTGGTTAAGGGGTGTGCAGAAGGCAGCCGGTCAATGTATCTTTGTCACATCAATGTTTCTATCTCTGTCTCCCTTCCTCTTTCTCTAAAAATAAAAACACACTAAAAAACAAAACGAAACCCCACTCTTCTCCACCAATTTCAAGGAAACCTACAAACTCATCACAAGGAATGCAGTCTCTATGATATGCCCCCTTTTAACCATGACTGTGGTCAGATTATTCTCTTTTATTGGCTCAGTTCTCATCAAAGAACAGGTTTAATGATTGTTAGGAAATTTTTAAGATCCAATGAGCATGTGTAAAATGATAACTATCTAGCAAACAACATTAAATACAAGCTCCATGTTCATTATTCAATAAATGACAGGATATTGAAGCAGTGTTCAGAATTCCACAAAACAACACAATTTATACAGGACTTGGGATCATCAGGTGCTGCCTTTTACCTCCACACAACGCAGACATTTGTTACAAAGCATGAACATAAATGGTTCAGCAGCACAGGTCAGAGATTCCGAGACCTCTGTGCTGAAGGATAATAGAATCCTATGGTCTGAGGCCGGTTTCTCAAATTCTCTGGAAGCTCTGCCTACCACTTATCTTCGCCTCTCGTTTCTTCACCTTGTTTCTCTGTTCAGGCATACTGGAAGCCACTTGATCATTCTTGCCTTTTAAGTTAATAACATTTTTTCCCCACAGGGCCTTAAGTTTTACTCTACCTTTTAAACCCCTCCTCCTGAATCATAACCAAAATTAAAGAAGTAATAGTCCCTATGAACTGCCTCCATGTAAATAGATGATAATTCCTCATTCCTTTCTCTGGCATAGTCATCGTTCATTGTCCCTTGACACTAACCAGCACTTCTGTCGGCACCTGTAACACTGGGCTGACTGAGCTCACCTGTGGAAACATCTGCCTCCCTTTCTGGCTATACTGTTTTTGCTCACTCCCCACTCATCTGCATTACCTGTATTCACCCCAATCCTAAAGCCATTACAGTTAACAACATAGTTAATGTGTAACTCTTTTTTGCTAACAAGGCCATGAATTAGATGAGAAAACGAAACCTTTCTCATCCCTCCTGTAAGTACATAGCACTGACAGAGGCTGGAATAGCTTAGTGTGATATTGGGAAAGAGATGATCATTTAATAAGTCCTTGACCCAACATGACCATTCAGGAGTTCTGGGGAAACTTGACTAAAGCTCAGGTTCTTATTCAATCTCGCATGTACTTAGACATCAATGCCTGCGGGAGACATGCACCTATACTGGCGATGCAGATGCAGTCCAGTAGAAAGAGCAATTCTCCACTCACCTGGGACCCCATCATCTCTAGCTCAGCTGCCAACCGTCCTCTGGGTTTTCACTGGCACAGTCCAGGCAACAGGAGGCAAAGCTGAGGGAGAAAGAAGTCATGAAACTTCATTATCTATAATTTCTAGACCCCGCTGTCATGAAGCTCCAATGCTTCACCTGGGCACCAGCCCCAGGCCAACCAACAGAAACAGCAGGGTTTGCTAAGAAAAACAGTGGGAGCGCTCTCCTGTCAGGGCCCATAGAAGACACAAAGACCTTCACTTTAGGTAAGAGTTGGGACACCATGAGTTTGTGAACTAATTAACCCATGGTGTTCAGAACTTTTAAATTCCCTCTTGAAACAGAGATCCTACTCATGCCACACGTGTCTCCATCTCCAGGAGCCACTGTGAGATTTCTCAGGCCTGAACATTCTTAGTTTGTGCACAAGCAATGTTTCTCCAACTTGATCCAGCCCTTTGATGCCTCAGTCCATTCCTACTGCTTCCTGTCCCTGCCCTTCAGGTACTTTTGTCCTGAATCAGTTTGTCTCCTAAAATGAGGTTTCCAGGAATATCAATCCCTTAACATGGACTTTTAGATTTGTTCTATATGAATTTGGTTATGAACCAAGAGAATTAGGGATACATTTTAGGATAAGGTCGCTCACTGCAGTGGCTTATTCCATTTAGAGGACTCAATGGCATCTACCTTCAAATTTACCCCTGAAGATCCCCTGCATCAGAAAACAGTGTGAGTACATGGGCTACAGAACCACTATCATGTCCAACAATCCTCGCAGGGCAGTGGGCTCAAAAACTATAGAACGTAGGCGTTTTAGAGGAAATTTAGTTCTTCCACCTGATACTTAGAAAAGTGGCAGTGGAGATCCTGCCCTTCACCAGCCCCATCACCTGACACTTCTTCTAACTGCATTACTGCTCTGCCTCACACAGCTTTGTGAAGTGTAAGCCCTCACCGAAAACATTAATAATTATGTGTATTTCATGGACAAATGATGACAATGAGTCATAACAGAAGTAGCTTTAAATGACCTATTTGTGATTTGTAACAGTGAAGTTTCATTACATGTGATGCTGTGCTTAGACTTACATATGTTTGTTTATTTATTCCTCAAAATAACCCTACTGATTATGGTTCATTTATCAATTTAATAAATGACATGATCAGAGGTTCAAAAAACTTCAGTAAATATGACAAAAATCACATGCATACAAGAACATACAATGCAGACAAGCACATGTTAGAAAGTAACACAGGCTTAATCTGAATTTGTCTCTGCCCGCCTTCCAAGCTCAGAATTTTTTTTTTCTTTCTTGGTTTTAGAGAGAGAGGAAGGGATAGAAACATTGTTATTTTCTCATACATTAACTGGGTAGATTATATGAATCAGAGCTAGTGCTAAGGATTGGGCAGTAAAGACAAAACATTTTATTCCCCCCTTCATGCCACTAGTGTCTAATAAACAAATAAGTTACAACACTGTATTACTTTATAAACCTACACGTCAGCAAACAACTGAACTGTATTTGGCTGAGCACAGTGTAAAGAAGCCCTGAGCCCTGTCTATTCTACTTAAAAATTATCCGAAGGGACTGGAAATAGAAAGTATCCTAGAAACCAGTCTCGGTGACTGAGGCTGAGGGAGAAGAGATGAGAACGCTTGCACAGTGCAGACAGCACTCGCGGGTCAGCTGAGCACACTGATGACGGACCACGCTCAGTCGTGCTAGGGAGAGAAGGTCTGCGCTAAGAATTGCTACAAGTTTTCAGTCTCTGGGTGACTGTTAAGTCTAACATTTTCAGTGACTTTAAAAACATGTAGATACTGCCTTGGTCACTGTGGCTCAGTTGGTTGAGCATTGTCCCATATACCAAAAGGTTGCTGGTTGATTTCCTGGACAGGGCACATACCCAGATTGTGGGTTTTATCCCTGGTTGACGTGCGTATGGGAGGCAACCAACTGATGTTTCTCTCTCACACTGATGTTTCCCTCTCTCCTTTCCTCTCCCTCTAAAATCAATAAAAACATATTTTTAAAAAACAAAAACATACAAACGAAGAGAAGGAAAAAGGAAACATGAGTTTTTTGGCTTTTCCAATTTTTACAAATAAGCAGACAATAAAAGTTCAAATAATAAAAAGATTAAATAAACAACTATTGAAAAATGAAAAAACATTTGACAAAGATCAAGAAAAGTTTTGACAGGGAAATCAAAGAATTAAAAAGGACTTATGAAAATATAACACTAGCAATTAAAATAGAGCATTTATTCATTTGAAAGCAATACTTTGAAATCTATGAAAAATGGGAAGAACTATATTATTAATTTGTATGTGTTAAGAGAAATTGATTAATTTCCAAGGAAATGTCATGACTCTTCACTCACCAATAAAAACAATCAGATTAGGCCATTTGAATATATAAATTATATATCAAAATTTATCTCCAAAACGGGTTCATGAGAGTGTCCTGAACATGTAAGGTAAATTGCTCTAAAGAGAAAAAGGACCTGTTCTCCTTGGTTAATCAGGCAAACCAAATATACATATATGTAGAAAAAAAGTCGGACATTTCAACACTCTTCCTTGAGAACATTTTATAAAAACTATTAATACAGCCCTGGATGGTTTGGCTCAGCGGTTAGAGCGTGGGCCTGCGGTCCAGAGAGACCTGGGTTTGGTTCCCGCTAAGGACACCTACCTTGGTTGCAGTTTGTCCCCCGCCCTGGTTGGGTTGTGCAGGTGGCAACCACTCGATGTGTCCCTTTCATGTCTATGTTTCTCTCTCTCTCCCTCACACTCTATCTGAACAAAATATGGAAAAATGTCCTCGGATAAGGATTAAAAAACAAAACAAAAAACTATTAATACAATTTTAGCCATTTAGCTATTACTGCCATGGTTAAATACTAATACAACCCTGTCAAGTGGAGTTTATTGCAAAAATGTAAGTATGATTCAATACTAGAAAACCTATTACTTTCATACAATAATTTTAACGATCCCCCCAAATTAAATTACATCAATAGACCCTTGGAAAAATATATGATCTTTAAAAATAGTTGAAGATCTTTAAACAGTGGTGAATAATTACTGTTAATCAAGACCACCTCTGCACACATATTTGGCAGTGAACAAAGATGCAGCTCCAGGGGAGGGAGGGCCGAGAGCGGGGCTGGGCAGGGATGCCAACATTCACTCACCAGGCACAGAATTCCTGAGCCAGGAGAGGAGGGACAGCATGGCGCCGAAAGAGTGGAACTGCATTTACTCTCACATGACATGCAAACTGCACACTCAAGGAAAGCAGGACACTCCATTCCAACTATTACATTTAACAATACTTTTATAAGTGAACAAAACTATTCTGAATACACTGAAATCAGTATTTCCTGTTTAGTGACAATCATTTCAAAAGTAAGCAAAGCAACATTGGTTTCTACTTATAATGGCAAAATAGTATAACTCCCATTTGAAATAAATTTGCAGACCCATTTAAAGAAATTCTAAAACTTTTTCAGGACATAAGAATGACATGTGAAGAGTCTGTCAAACCAAAATCTTAAACTAGAGGACACGGTGAGCAGAACCCCAGGGACTGCATAGACCTGGCACGACCCACACTTGAAAGTCACATGCACCATTTTACATGAAAAGTGACAACTATCTTAAAAAAGTCAATTTTGACTCAATTTTTATTTTGGGTGAAAAATATAGCCAAAATAACCATAAAAATTGGACACAGGTCAAATTACATCTGAACCTATATTTATTGAAACTTTAAAACAAATTAGTTTAACATCCTTAAACAATATACTAGCAGTACTGAATGGAACATAACATTTTATGACATGAAATAGGTGACATCTCCGGAGGGCAAAAAAAAAAAGGCAAAGGGCAGAGAGGAAGGGTTTTGGTTTCATTACACGAGCATTATGAGACCAGAGTATGCGGGCGTGTGTGTGTGTGTCTGGACTACAAAACAGTGTCTAGTATCTAAAAGCACACCAATGAGTCAAGAAGAAAATCTCATTTTACATATACGTACATGTCTATAATAAACAAAATTTATTCAGTTAGTGACACAAAAATAAAGACTTGTATTTTACCCAAATTTACAAATACATGTATTTACATGTATGCACACACACATATACATATACTGAGTCCTTAAAGCAGGTGGAACCTCACAAATTGGTGGATGAGAATCTCTTTGCAGTTGCGTGTGTGTGGCATCGTGCCAGAATTTATTATAATATGAAATGCACCATCTGTTGATCCACCGATCAAAACCCAACTCACCTAAAGTGTAGGAACCCTTAGATATTTGCAGAGAAGTGAATTCTTTACAAATCCATGAACAACAAGGTCTCCTTGGGATGCATCTGCTGTCAACAATTTACAAAACCCTCTACTGTTAGGCACGTAGAGTGATTCCAGTTTTAAACAGTTACGAAGAAAACATACCGCAGAATGTGGACGAAATGTCACCTTAATGTGCCTGTTTCCAAGCTGTCCCTTCTAGTGCAAACTGCTAATATACGGAGGCCACTGCACCGACTTGCTTTGTTAAGCTTCAAAAGCATCACACGATCAGGCAAACAGACTGCACCCCACCGAACTCCGCCCCGGGTTCCCCGGTGCTCCCGACAGAACTCACCGCGGACGGTGCAGGCGCTTCAACGCGGCTCCCAGGGCGCGGGCGGGGCACGGAGACCCGGTTCGCACGCCATCGGGGCCTGGGGTCCTCCCTGCGTCCGCCGAGCCGCTGCACCGGGAGCCGAGGCGGGTCTGCAGACGGAGGGGGGCAGGGAGGCCCCAGGGGAGGGTCACGCGGGTGCCCGGGCGCCCGGCCAGCACGAGACACCGGCCAGCAGGTAACGTGCGCTCGCGGGGAGCGCGTCCCCTCCCCCAGCTCCTGCTCCGAGCCCCTTCCGCAGGCGACCCCGGGTCTCCGAACGGCTCCCCTTCCCGCTGCCGCCCCCGTGACACCTCGCGCCGGGCCCCTCCCGCCACCGAGCGCACCGCACCCTCCCTCGCCCGCCCGGTTCACCTTCTGAGGCCCCCTCTCCGGAGCCCTCGCTCCCCTCTCCTCGGGGTCCCCCGGGGCACCGGGCAGGCGCGCACACCCGGCCGGCAGGGCCAGCGGGCGACGGCAGGGGACGGGGCTGCCCTGCGGGGCGCGGAGCCGCGTAGCGAGCGGGAGTCGGACCCCGCGGCGCAGGGCGGCCTCGCTGCGCTACTGGCCGGAACCGGAAGTGACGACGCAGCGCCGGAGCGCTCCGCCTGCGGGCCGCTGGGCCTCGAGCGCACCCCACGGGCGGGACCGGTGCGAGCCGGAGTCTGTGGCACCCACGGCGACCCCGGGCACGGGGTGGGGGACGCTGCGTGGAGGAAGCCAAGGAGCAGGGACGGAAACCTCCGCGAGCGGAACTCACTCACCCTCCCGGGCCTTGCGCCGCAGGAACTCTCTTCTGTGTGGACAGGAAGTACGCAGGGTGGGGGCGGGGCCCCGGCCAGGAGGAGGGAGGGTGGGGCCCGGCCAGGAGGAGGGGGCGGGGCCCCGGCGAGGAAGAGGGAGGGCGGGGCCCGGCCAGGAGGAGGGAGGGCGGGGTCCCGGCGAGGAGGAGGGGGCGGGGCCCGGCCAGGAGGAGGGGGCGGGGCCCCGGCGAGGAAGAGGGAGTGCGGGGCCCGGCCAGGAGGAGGGGGCGGGGCCCGGCCAGGAGGAGGGGGCGGGGCCCGGCCAGGAGGAGGGAGGGCGGGGCCCGGCCAGGAGGAGGGGGCGGGGCCCGGCCAGGAGGAGGGAGGGCGGGGCCCGGCCAGGAGGAGGGGGCGGGGCCCCGGCCAGGAGGCGGGCATCTGGGTGCTGGGCCCAGGTCTGTTCAAAGCGGTTCAGCGCCCTGATCCTCTGGCAAACTCAGGGTCACACCACGTGATGAACGAGAAACAGTTTGCACACAAGTCCTTCTGCTGACGGCCTGGGCAGTCGAGCTCTGCGTCCGCCTCACCGTCCCCTCCGGCCGTGGAAGCCTGGGTGGCAGCGGAGGACGGCGCTGCCTCGGCCAAGTGGTGCCGCCCGGAGCCGTTTCCACCGGGAAACCTGTCCCCGGAGTGGACTGGACGCCAACACTACAGCGAAGGCACAAGCGCCTGTGGGTCAGAGAGGCAACTGGGCGCCCGGTCCTGGGTAGAAGAGCAGCACAGCAGCGTCGCACTCACACTTGGGGGCCTGGGAACCCCCCGGAAGAAACACAAGTAGGGCCCCAGCCCCCAGTTCCCGAGCGTAGTGTTCCGTGTCCACCCATCGGCGCGGTCTGGGATGCTCCCAGCAGGCGCAGCTGCAAAGCAGAAGAGGAAGGTGCAGGGGCAGGGAGAGGCCGCTTCCTGAGCAGCGGTTCCAGCCCCTGGCCTGCTGCTGGGGACCAGGACCCCAGGGAGGCGCGAGCCTCCCCTGGGCGGGAGAAGGTGCCCTGGCCAGCTCGCCTCGCGCAGGCCGCCAGTGCAAGAGTTCCTTGTGAAACCAAGCGTCCGTGTTCAGCTCCAGATTTGCTGTCTTGCAAAATCGAATACTGAGTTCAAGGACAAAGGGGTAGGGGAAAGTAAAGTTTATTTTACAGACAGCCAGACTCCCCACAGCAGGGAGGGGACTAAAGTAGGTTGCTGGTGAAGCTCTGTTGTCTAGGGGTAGATATACACCTTGCTAGCTTCTGATTGGTCCTTTCAAGAATTTCTGCCTTAGCAACATCCATACATTTTAAAGGTTGTGTTTCCGGCCTGACTGGGTTCAGTCCTGGTCATCTATAGGGACCTTAGTGCTTCCCCTTTTTTGATAATTTCAACTTCTCCCAGACTATTAGTGGGGAGGAGCAGAAATGCCCTTGGAGCAACTGTTGTAACATGTCAGTGAGATAACCAGAGACACACAGTCAAACTGAAAAGGAGCACTTCATTACACGGGGGGTGGGGGTGGGGTACAGCTTCCCCAGATCCTCAGTACCAGATTCTTCTTGCTCCTTGGATTTTAAAGACAGAAACCCCACCCCCCTTTTGCCCCCTCCCCCACTGGTACAATAGTGGGTGTGACAGTGATTACAGAAGTCAAAATTAGCACTATTCACATGGCTCACAAATACCTGCAAATGCCTGCAAATACCGATTACTTGGAAACTGCAAATGCCTCCCCATGTGTGGGGCAACTATAATCTTAGGCAAAATTTCTTTACTTCTAGGAGTAATTAACCTATTACTGGAAAATAATCGAGGAAGGTCCACTGATGATAAAAATGGAGTCATTTAGTCGCCTTAGCCAAGAGGCCTACATAAGAATGGAATCTAGTCACCTTAGCCTCGGGGCTCAGGTCACAACCCTATTTTGGTTTCTCTCTCAAATCCAACCTTGCTTTTCTATAACCCTTTATAAGGTAACCTGACTTTCTGCAAAATAGAAACACACCAAATAGTTTCGCAGCAGAACTCATGGGCAGTCCTGTTGCCTTGATTGAAACCAGCCTTTCCTGCTTGTGATTGACCTGTGCTCCTTCCAGGAGCTTCTAATTTTCATTTCTATAAATGGAGGTTGGGAGTTTCTAGCCTTGGAGGCACAATTTTCCATGTTGATTTTAGTTTTATTTCGAGATATGTAGAGTCCGAGCAAGCCTCCAGCTATCCTGTATACTGACTGGGTTACCTGCCCATGGGCCAAGCTCCAAGTCATCTCAAACGTCCCCCATGTCTCCCTTCCCATGGTCCCGTCTCTCACTGCCTAACCTGCCTCTATCTCCTCACTTGCAGAAGGGTGGTTCAGGGCCCTGGTAAGGGAGGTCTTTAACTAAATACATGTTAATCATTTACAAATGGAAGGTACTGGGACAGGCATATACCATACGATACACATTGGTGAACAAAACAGACATGTCCGTGGAGCTCACTGCTTACATGGGTAGACAGACACTAAGCAAATAAATATATCATTTTAAAGCAAGAAAAAGGCTATGAAGAAAAAGATGAGAATGCTGTTACAGAAAGATGAGAAATGAGCGGGGAAGCATGTTTTTGAAGAAGCAGCATGGACATTTTCCACATTGTAAGTTCTTCAGATTATCTACACAGGGCACAATTTCACTTACAAATATCTTCAGATTTCTAGAAAACCATACATCCAGGCCCTAAACTCACTTAAAGTGCTAAGAATGCCATTACTATCTTATTCTATCATTGATGAACCCTAAAGAATAAAGTTTAAGAGAGAGAAAAAATAAAATGAGTGAACCAATAAGAACAAATTGTAAAATGATGGTAGAATTAAACCTAAACTGGGCAAATATTACAACAGAAATAAGTGAACTAGCCCTGGTCAGGTGGCTCAGTTGGTGGGAGCATCATCTAGTACACCAAAAGGTTGTGGTTTGATTCCTGATCAGGGCACATACCTACGTTGCATGTTCAGTATGCCAATGTTTCTCTCCCTTTCTCCCTCTCAAAATAAATAAATAAATAAATAAATAAATAATCAATAAACATAGCCCCTGGTGAGGATAAAAAAATTAATAAAATAATAAGGGGACTAAGTCCGCAAATAAAAAAGGCAGATATTGTATGACTGGATTAAGAGACTCAACAAGATGCTTACTACAAAAAAAAAAAAAAAAAAAAAATCCTACCTCATTTTAAATGTAAGTTATAAAGAGACCAAGAGTAAGATGATAAAGAAAATATAACATGAAAACTCTTATAAGAAAGCTGGGGTGGCTATATTAATATTATACAAAAGGTGGTTATATTAGCATTAAAGCAATCTTAGAACAATGAACATTATCAGTGATAAAGAGGGCTATTCTGTAACAATGCAAAGATCAACAAGGAGTCGTAATACTCCTAAGTATGTAAGATTAACTGTAACAATGCAAAGATCAACAAGAAGTCGTAATACTCCTAAGTATGTAAGATTAAATAATATAACGTCAAAACACACAAAACAAAAATTAACGAAATTGAAAGAAGCAAAAGATGATTCCAGAAGACGAAGACTTTAACACTCTTCTCTCAGCAACTGGTAGAATGAATAAGTGAGACAGCGAGGATGTAGAGTTTCGAAACCTGGAAGTTGTAGTGTGGTAACTGATTTAGTTTCATTGTCACTTATAGAAACCTCTATCCAAATATAGGAAATATTCACCAAGATAGACTACATTCTAGGGCATAAAAAGTTCTCAGTGCAAAATAATTGAAATATACAGTGTACATTCTTTTATACAAAATAAGTATTTTAGGATGCAATAACAAAAATGTATGTAGACCATCAGCAAATAGCTGGAAATAACACAGTATTTTCCTAAATAATATATGGGTCAAAGAAGAAATTATAAGGAAAATTATCCTCACCCAAGGACATTTTTCCATTTTTTTGTTCAGATAGAATGAGAAAGGAGGGAGAGAAGCATCGACATGAAAAGGACACATTGAATGGCTGCCACCCACATGACCCAACTAGCGCTGGGGACAAACTGCAACCAAGGTACATGGCCTTAGCGGGAACCAAACCCAGGTCTCTCCAGACCACAGGCCAACACTCCAACCGCTGAGCCAAACCGGCCAGGGCTTGAACTTGAATTTTAGAATTCAAGTTCACAAATCTAAGTATATATTTAGAAAATGAGACTAGTTTAATATTTGGGGTTTGAAAACCGTGAGTGATTTTTTTTCATAAAGAGAAATATATTTGGGACTGAATAAGAATGTACCCAACCCATTTAATGTACACAACCCATTAAAATTTGTGGTTGGGACATTGCTATCTTCTGCAACCGCTGATGCTGAGAAATCATGAACATCCGCTGGCGCAGGTAAGTCTTATTTTGTTCACTTTGTTAGCCTTTTTTATCTATTTCTACAGGATTTGGTATAATTTTGAAGTTCTGTGAGTTATTTTTTTCCTTCAACATTTACATTGACATGAAAAAAGTATTTTTGTTAAGCTACCTGGTTGGACTTAGAGATGAACTTTATTGAATTATGGGTTTGTTTACAGTGTGAGGATCTGGTTCAGTTCACATGTCTGGAAACTTGGGTCTGGTGTCTGGCTCCAAGACCAGACTGTGGCAATGGTATTTTGGTTATGGATTC